AAAACACTAATTTGAGGGTCAGTTGGTCATTACATATATAACTAGACAGAAGTAAGTTATTTGGTTCTTCCTCATAGAAATTAGCTCTGTCAACCTTACAATAGGGAAAAAACGCCAGCTAATTTTAGAATAAAAGCATGTAGACTGCACAAACAGCATGGCAAATCCACTTACGATTTGTTTTTAACGTTTAACCTGAATTCCAGTTAATATGCATTCCATAAATCCTCAATTATTTGGAAGTTAAATCATATATTACATTTTTCTGTAGTAACTATTGAATTCGATCTACTTTGTATAAGTAGATTGACCCCAGTGAAGGATCGTCGGAGTAGATGCAAGCAATAACAAGCATCAGAACATTCAAATTATGATATTTCCAACCATTACAGAATAAGCCCAACTTTCGTAAACGACTTACCTTACGAAGAGGAACTAGACTAAACAATCCCAGGAAACTAACAACAAAAGTAAATCCCATCATCCACAACAGTCCAGGGTTCTTCACATCCTCCGCTCGATTACCCGGATAATCTTCACCAATCAGTTTATACGTTTTCTCGTCCATAGCTAGCAAGTATGACCCAGCTCCCCCTGTCAACATAAACACCCAACCATTCCCCAGAATTAAATGTTGTCCTCCCATCCAGACACATAACATGAAGTTATGAACTGAAAACTTCCAGTAGAAAAATCCCCTTCATTATCACTACTCTATCAAAACTATAACAAATGAACCACACACTTGACTATTCCACTTCAAAAAAATAATGATGTCGACAAAAAATGCAGCTCGAGCAACAAGTACAAGACAACAATAATTACGTACAAAAAATAAAATAAAATTACCGCTGAAGGCGAGACCGTAACAAGCCACAACGCACGTCTGGATGACGGTATTCTCTTGCCGAGTGAAAGGTTGAACCAGGAATCCCAGTTTTGACAGAAAACCAGTCCATGACTTCACGAAGAAGAACCCTAACAGACCTGCGGCGACGTTGAGCGACGGTATGATCCCGACCGTCAGATTTAGCTTGTGAGTGATAATACAGAAAAGCGTCCCTAATATGGCGCTGACCACAAGCCCTCTGATCGTGATCTGATCTTTCCATTCAGGAATCTGCTCGATTTCATCGTCGGCGGCGGGGATTTTCTCCGGCGCAGCTTCATCCTGGCGCAGAAGAGGCTCCGATATCTCCGCGGTTTGCTCCGTTCCCATTGAAGATCAAAATAAATGTTGATTTCTCCTGATAACGTGAGCTGGAGAGTTTAGGATTTTTTTCCCTTTTATTTTCGATGGACTCTTTAGTTGGCGATCTTTTATTTTATTATAATATTGGTGGATGGGGGCAGCTATCTCCTGTTCCTCGCGATCCAGTTCTCTACAATTTTACAAAAATCGTGCTAGCATTTTGTACTATTCCAAAATTCTAACCAAACCCCCACTAAAATAATACCACAAATATGTTAACATAAAATATAGTTTAAGATTGTGATTCCATTATATCATAACACACATATGATGTGACTTCAACTACCCTTGTGGCAACTAACCCTCAATACAAGCACACTAAATGTCAAAATCTACCCTTTCAGAAGCTCTTATAGCATCTCCAGTGTAGGGATGTCAATGTCAAATGTTAATGCCACGTGTATGTAAATAATTGGATAACTTATCCCTTTTAATATCAATGTTGACAGTGTAAATAACAACATTCAAATACTCCGTACAATGCACACTTTCTTTTGTACTGGATTCTCAGTCATACTGTCAAAGAGACTGTTTGGTTTCAAACATTGGCCTTCCCTACTGTGAAGCCACATCATATAAAATTAAACCACGACAGTACCCATTAGAGAGAAAAAAATAAAGACGGTGTTATGTGGTATATATTTTTTGGACTCAACAGTCCGCACTGGAGACTGGAGATGCTCTTATCTATTTAAAATTTTAAAACTCACAGTTTTGAGCCAAACGTGTATAGGTCATAGATGCATTTTATTCCTATTCGAGTGTATTTTATATGGCTATGTTTGGTAAAACTAGCTGATAACTACCTTATAATTTTTATCAGACTATGTTTGGTAGACAAATAAACTAGTTTATAGTTTATTTGGTTAGTTTATATGCTTTTGTATTCAAATAAGCTTCGTCTGGTAGGCTGAGCTTTTTTAAAAAGTTCCAGCTTATTGCATAAGCTTCATTGGGTAGCTTTTCAAATAAGTCTGTTGAAATTTTTATTTAAGCTAGCTTATCAGCTAATTTCACCAAACACTTTCATATAAGCTAGCTTTTCAACTATAAGTCATAAGGAAAATTACCTATAACTATAAGCTAGTTTATCAGCTATGTTGACACCCGAGTTCGCCCCCAAAAGAAACCGGACAAGGCAGCTTTGAGAGCCGAACCGGAGCCCCGGTCTAGCGCGCAGGTGCCGAGCTGGACTCCAAAACTTTTTGATCCTAATACCCCCGTGGGTCCATCCATCAGCCCGGTATTTGATGCATCGGGATACCGGTGCCGGTCTGATGAGTGACGGGCTGGAGGAAGATTCACCGAGGCTGAAGGAATGAAATGGGAACAGGAGCCGACCTGAGGTCTCAGAACGGATCTTCCATGTCGGATGTCGATCACGATAACAATATAATATTGCCACTTGGAGAGCAATCATTAGTGATTGGACAAGGTGTCCTAGCCTGCAGGCCTATGTCCGCTAGCCAAGACATAAAGCCTGTCAGCATTAAATGACCCCCATGTGCGCATTAAATGCCTGTCAGACAATGATGAGGAAAACCTCAAATCGCATTGAATTCTGTCAGGGAAGCGTCGGACTGCTTTGCAAGAACACTGTACGACAAGACTGGTAAACAGTACCTGAACAGTGTCACATTTAAGGCCACTATAAATAGCAGCCCACTTCATTTAATTTGGGTTGTTGAATCCCAACTGTCTGAACTCTCTCTACATTTTTTCTCTCTAGACTCATATAGAAACTTTGTAAGAATTCGTTAAGGATATTGCAAGTGTCGACCTCGTACGAGAGGCCGACCTCGCGATCGATCAATGAAAACATAATTAAACCCTATTTCTTTCTTTTTTCCTCATCGTCTTCTCATTATTTACCTTTTTAACTGTTTACCGGAAACGTCCGTCAACAAGCTATCAGCTAGTTTATCAGTTAAATTTACCAAACATAACCTGATTTTTTAGTTTATAGTTTATGACTTATAGCTAAAAAGCTAATATATACGATAAAAATGTTTAGTAAAATTAACTGATAAGATAGCTGAAATAAAAATTTCAACGAACTTATTTGAAAAGCTACTTAAGGAAGCTTATGAGATCAACTCGAGTTTTTTAAAAAATCTCGTTTTACCAAACGAAACTTATTTAAATACAAAAAACTTATAAACTGACCAAATAAGATCGCTTAATAAGTAACATTCCCAAAGGTATTAACAAGTTTATGGTTGCATGTACATATTTAAGTTAAAACTGCATTTCTTGAAAAATAGCTTAGTCTAAAAATAAAAGATTCTTATGTACGGCCTTGAAATTGCAGGAAGGTTACAATATTAGAGAATTGGTTCGTGCTTCCTATTGATATTTGAAGATATTTGAAATCATCCAAGTTAAATTCACATATATGGGCAGGAGATCAATTTATTATGGGGGCCAAGGACAGCCATACACATACTCTTGGAAGTAGTAGGCTAGTAGCCATTGAAGTTTGCGCCTTTCATCTTCGGGACTTGTGCTCTGCCTTATCTTCACCCAAACGATGCCATAAATGAAGTCAAACCTCATCACTAGCGGCCCGTGGCCCGAACCGTGAACCGGTACCGGCCCGGATCAAACCGGCACCGATACCGACATGAACAGTACACGGGCTGTGAACCGGACCGGGCCCAAAGCGGTCCGGTTACGGTTCAATGGTTTTCATTAATCGGTCCCGACGGGCCGGGCCGGGCCGGGACCGGTTCCGGTTTTTCCGACAGGTCGTAGTTCATTTTTTATTTTTATTTTTTTGAACTGCCGGGCCGGGCCGGTTCAAATGAACCGGCCCATAGGAATTGCCGGGCCAGTTACGGGTCTAACAATTGAGGCCCGCCGACCCGCCGGGCCGGGCCCGGACCCGGCACCTGGCCATGTCTACTCATCACAAAAATGGGCTCACTCTATCATCCCACAACTTTAACAAAAATTAATACTCCCTTCTATTCTTAATAAGTGTCGTTTTGAAAAGTTGCACACTAATTAAAAATAATTTTTTTGTCAATAATAACCCTCATTAATGAAAATAGAGATGAATGTTTTAAAAAAAAAGATGAAGAGAATATGAAAAGACGTAATATATTTATTAACTAAATGAGGATAATAATGAAAAAATATATACAAAAGATCCAAAACGACATTTATTTTGGTGGGGAGGGAGATACTATTATTTTATAGCAAAAGTGTTAGTTTGCAAATGATTCCTTGTATTATACTTTCTTGTCGTAAATATAACATTTCACAAATGCAAGCTATCATGGTTATAAAATCTAATCCATAAATCTGGTCTAAGGTAACTTTATGGGATGTATTTAATTGGGATTTCTATAGACTTTTTAAGACTTTTAATAATTTTAAGATATTCAATTGAGCTTTTAAAAAGTCTTACAAAATCTCAATTAAATACCCTAAAATTTTTCCAAATTTTAAATACATGATTTTTCCCAAATTCATGATTTTTAAATACATGATTTTAGGGTATTCAATTGAAATTTCTCGAATCCATGATTTTTCCAAATCATGGATTCTAGAAAATTAGAAGTTTGACATGTTATAAAACGGTAAAACCACAAATTTTATTGATTGGTAAGTAGCTATTTGAAATGGCTTTTAATTCAAAGCACTTTGAAAAAACTTAATATACGAGCTTATTGTGAATAGAGAAATGTATTTTAATTACTTTCACATATCAAATCAAACGACTAATTATTTACCATACATAGCATAATCAACTATATATGCCATTTGCTAAGTACCACATAAAAACATAAACCGTTTCAACTAGATAGATTCACCTTTTTATTTTATGCTATTCTCATTTTGTGTACTCCGGCTTCCCTTATATATCAGGCCCTATGGAATTTCCTAGTCGGGACCCATCAAAAATCAGATACCTCAGTCACAACCTCCTCAACATCTATAGTATAGTAATCCAGTGGTCATGATTACTACGGCCCGCGGCCTTTGTTCACAGCTTAACTATTTTGCTATTTCTTGAGACACCCACTGGGCCATCACGTGCTTCTTCCTCCACTCAATCCGATGGCCCAGTCCAGCCCAATACTAAAACCTGGCCTGTTCACTTGAATTATCCCGCTCATCAGTTAGGCCTCCTTGCCCATTATACCCAAAAATCGAACAACACATTGAGCCCATAACTTTAGCTGGAATGACCGAAGAAGTTGAGAAAAGTCGTAAATTATCAACTTCCCACCGTGTGCGCTGATTAACGTTCACAGTCGTAAAGTCCAGGTACAAACGAGTTGGTAATTTATATAAGCTTCAGATCAAGTGTGATATTTCAAAACTATTATAATAATGTGTAATGATACGATCAATCTAATTCAAACATGGAAAAAGGATGGTGGCAGGCAACAATTCAATAAAAATTCCACGATTAGCAGAACATGTGGCACACATACGAGTTATTATCCATTAGGTGAGGATTTGTACATAATGAGAATGAAGAAAAATACACATAAAGTGGCATTCCCTTTTTAGCTAAACTTGTACCTCCAAGTATCGCTAGCTGCCAAGAAGGTTTGCAAACATAGCCAAATGAAAAGGTGATTTGGTTGAAAGACAAGATGACATAACAAACCTGCACCAGTACACGTAATTGTTGAATATAAAATAAAAGTTTAAATTGAAATACAACCAGGCAACTTCCTCCCTACAGCTATAACAACAAGATATGACTAAACAACTCCCAGCTAGTTTCTACACATTTGTAAGCTAGTGACCAGAGAGCATCTCCAAAATAGAGTAGGATAGTAGAGTTTTGAACAGTGATAGTCTACGTATAGAACGTCACCATTCAATACAATATACAAAGTATGTAAATGGCGACCGCTGCAAAACTAGGAAAGAGCTCTATTATGGCCAAGAATAAGAACCAAAATTTAGTTTTCCACATTTTAATGACAAGTAGAATCAATAGACCATTACACTCACCATTTTCAGTGGTTACACATCATACCATGCACACAACTTCAAAACCTCATCATTGAACTGGCCAAACTATATGCCAACATCAATACTTTGGTAAATGAGTTTAAACATAATATAAAAAATGATTAGTTAACACATTTTGTTCAAGTAGATGAAATCATCTACTCTATGCACGGGATAGCAGATTGACCGAATATTATACGAGCAGGAGACAAAAGCCTAGCTGTTCCCACTCTATTCACGAGGATTCTTGAATAATATAAGAGTGATAAATACAAGGAAACCAAATAAAATTTAATATAAAGAACCAAGGACAAACCAAGACCAACTAATTAGTAATATGCACCATTATAGATGAAAGCATGGGCACCATGCATCCACATTCTACTAGCTGAAAAATAGTCATAAGTACACATAACTTTAGTTGTACGCGTTCACACATCTTTACAGCATAAACAAACTCCTAACAGACATTCAGAAGCATAATTTGCCAACTTGACAAGTGAATTCAATGAAATTTTCCAGCAGTCCACGTGCACGAGTGTTTCTGATGTATGTTTCAGTTCTGTCCCCACACGTAAATTGGTTCTTAGTTCCTAATACCACCATTAGAAGGCACTCTATTATATAATTTTTATGCAAAGGTGGTGACAGATTTCTTGCAGATATCAACTTTATTAAGTGGGACTTTCCTAATTCTCGTAAATATGAACCAGAAATCAAATTTGGTAATACATGCATCAAAATGACTGCACAGAAATTTTCCCCTAAACATAGATTACATATTGACCATTTGACCTCTAAGACATAATAGTATCGGGTAGGTAAGCTGTATGAGGATCACAGACTTCAGAGACACCCCAGATTATCTTAGTGTTTTAAAGTGCTCAAACATAAAGTGCTTAATTAAGATATACGACATGGATGGCAATTTGAGTATGAGCCCTCTATGCTGCCCTACCATATACTATGTATTTTTTTAACTTGTGTTGGAAAAATTTCCGGCAGCAAGCAATGGCCATGGACAAATTTTATCATAAATGGACCATATAACCATCTCACGTGTCATGGTACATACTAGGAGTTGCATTACATACGCGTGTTATTGAAATCAAATCACCAATCGCAAGATCGACAGTCGACACACTGTTAAGTTTAAATCAATAGTCACTGTGCGACCACCTTTCACCGAAGATAAAATAAAACAATGCAAACCTTATATTTACGCTACAACTGATGCTGACAGGACTTTGTCCAACTGTAGCCTTGTAACTTTCTTAATGTTCTAATCTGCTAAAACCATCTTTAGACCCTACTAGGAAGCCTAGGCTTTCCATTTGTGAACAACATGATGAAAAGGTGATTCGACCCATCCATACCTCTATTAAGTTTCCCCTTTTAAAGACTGATTCTTCAATCATCTCATTATTGAAATCACATTTTTAAGACAACCATCTCTGATCCATTTTCCGTTTTAAAACTCAAGATGAAGGTCAGTCCAAATTCGTGTGATAATGACTAGGAACCTCTACCTTACAACGTTTCTAATTTATCTCATGTTGCAGTTCCTAGGTTGGATGCACCGTAAGCTGATGCACAATGGAACAGAACCAAACAAGAAATCCACGCTAGGTAACTTCATCAAGGAATATCATATGTCTATCTAACACCAAATATACAAAATCATGATACACTGAACCTCAATTTTTCCTACCTTGAAAATATCTTGGACAAAAGCCTAATCCAAACATAGCAGAATTGAGTATATTGGCCACAAATATATATTACTATATGAGGCAGCTAATTTATTTCAGAATTTATAACGTGCAAAATACTGCTCATGCAAAAGAATAAGAGAATGCACATAGTAACTTAACTATAGCTAACAGCGCCAGCCTTTACTCTTTTCAATTTCAGGAAATGTTTCCGCTTGTTATTCAGTGCATGCGTTGTTTGATGAGCAAAAAGGCTACAAAGAGCCCACCAAGACCATGACATACCCGGATATCAGGTGTAAAAAATCTTCAGACATATTTGAATCCAACAAGGGGGAAATGATTTTCCAAGAAGAATCATTCGAGTCTTTTGACTTTCTCGCGATTGGTACATTTGGTATGGAACTACTCCACACAGACCCCCCAACACCAAAGCTCGCGACACCCCACGAAAATTGGACTGATCCACAAAAAAAGATAACAGAAAATGATCTCAAACTCATAAACTATGAGCTCGAGAAATTTCTAGAAGCTGAGGAGAAAGAAATAGCCCACGACACGTCAGCAAGGAGTAGTCAGGCAAGTATCATAACCCTCAGCCATGCAACAACTGAAGGACTAGCTTCTGAAAGCCAAATGTATACCATGGCTTGCCCTCTCCAAAATTATCTCTTTCCCACGTAGACTGGGAAGGATGAAGAAGTAAAGAAAGAAACGACAGCACTTAGAGGAAATTTTAGGGAAAACAACATGTCCAATAACAAACATACGAAGATACGTGAAGGTTCAGAAAAAAAATCAAGGAAAAGAAATGTATCTCATTTCATGAAAAAGATGGTGAAGAAGTTAAATCCAACATCAAGATGCTCAAAGGTTTCATCTAAAGATGATGCGGCTCTATCCATCTCATTTAAGAAAAGACTCTCCAAGGTCAGTTTAGACCTACTACATTGGTGATGGTTTGATGAGTTTGGGAGAAATTATAAGCTCATATATTATGTTTAAAAGCTTATAAGCTCTCCAAAACATGGTATAAGATGTTCAAATTAGATGCTAAAAGGCTTATGAGCTCTTTAAAACATTTTATTAGATGTTTAAATGCTTATTATCCATCTAAATTATCTAATCTATTATTTCAATTTATAAGAAAATAGTATATATTCCTATATCCATATTTTTTTCCTTTAAATTCTTTTGTTCCACTAAACAGTTGACCCGTTGATCCAACAGTTGATTCGGACATTTGCCCCAATGGTTGGTTGTTTTTGGACATGTTTGATGGGATTGGGAACTGTTCTTATCACTATTTGTATTTACAATTTGTCCCACTAACCTGCTCATGTGACGCAAGTATAAAGCAGATTTTGTTCCGCATTCTAGCTTAAGCTTTGAGAAAAGTGCATCAATAGAATTAAAATGAATGAAACTGCATAGCATATATACCTTAAGCACATTGGAAAATATTTGCACGATCTGATGTGGCGGGGTTGCAGGCTATAAAGATATTTGACAGGAAGGTTCACGCTGAAGAGATGACAGACAAACAGTTCGCTAACAGACAAACAGTTCGCTAAGCACCAAAAGCGATGGAGGAAAAGCATTTCCCATGAGGATGGAAATAACATGGTTGGTCAAGGCGGGAGCAAATGGAGTGAAAAGGGCATCAGGAAACGATCTTCAAATGGGACCCACACGGGTGCTTCAGCTATCAATAGAGGGCGCTGGATCAAGACGGATTCTGATTGTAAGTTAAATGCATCAGTTGAAGATTAACAAATTAAGTAGGATTCTCTAACCTCTCTTTTTCCATATTTGTTTGTCGGTCATCTACATGAAAGACTTGGTCTTGGAGCTCTAAGGGAAGGCAAAGAGCCTATCCATGTTCCCCTTTTAAGGTGAAGTTTGCTCACGCGTGTGATCATGATTTTATTGATGAAAATTGAAATGAAGTGTAACTTGGCTAAGGTCAGATGCAAATAAGGAGACTCTCCTATCTGTGTGCTTTCTTAATATCTGTAGTGGTGGATGACTGTGCATTTATTAGAGTTTTATGTGCTTCTGTTTTATTGCTGGGAAGGTCAAATGTGATGTCAAGTACTAAAGCTAATTCTGTTGAATGTATCGAGTGCCTGTTTGAATTTAGCATCTCGCATGTAACTGAGCAGAAATATTCTTTAATATAGCATACACTGATCTAGTCTAGATAAATTAATATCAGCAACTTGCTCTAGGAAATTGCACGCTTACCCACATCTAAACTCTCGGAAACATGGATTTAAAAGAATTAGCCAACTCTTTACACAACGATGCTTCCAAATTGAATCTAGACGGCCGTACCCAAATATCAATTGACCAGGTAGCAGAAATATGTAATCAGAAAGGCAAGCATTCCCTCTTCAATACTCCACCCATGTCCATCCTCCAAGACTGGTCTACAAGGGATGACAGCTCTCTGAAGAAACACAAAATAGATAGTGTTTCATAAATGGATCTAAAAAACAATTCATAAACAATACTGTTAGAAGTTAGGTTTGTCCCTCATCGATTAGTTAATGGGCTGTTATTGTGTATAAGTGTGGGTTGGGCACCCTCACCGCTAACCCATTTATCATGATATCAGAGCATCCAAGTTTGTTTGTTTGGAGGAGATGTTGAGTTTGGACCCGGTCAATTTGGTTTGGAAGGCGGGTATTCGAAGTTATGTTTGTCCCACATCTATTAACTACTGGGCAGTTAAATGTGTATGGTGGTTTGGACACCCTCTCTTTTTGAGCTAGTTTTTGGGGATGAGTTCTACTCGGACTCATTTATCAGAAACTATATATAAGAAGCAAGCATTGAATTCTGTGCCAATTCCTTTGCCTATTGGATACCTTTAGGATTAGGGTACGCCCAAAAATAGTAATCATGTTATTTTCGTCTATCCCACATAACATGTTTACTCATCTTTTCTGACATGGCACAGCAACAACCACTATCAAATGTGTACATTAAATCATTCAGAAAGATCAGTTCATTCCAATAATGGTATCAATGAAAAATATCTACATTCAGGTGTTCACAAAGGATAAATTGTATATGAAAGAGGATCTACTCAAATAAAAAAACACCACCGCAATCAAATCTAAATCAAAGTGATAAACATTAAAACATGCAGTTGTAAGCTTACTTAATATCATGGCTGACAACAAGCAATGTAAGCTCTTTCTTCAAGTCTTTCAACAACTTAACAACATCCGCACGGGCTTTCCAGTCTAACAGAGAAAAGTTTCCAGTACATTGGAAATGTAAATTTAAAAGAACAAATATATGTGTAATTCACTATTCCTAGATTCTATGCTAATCTACTGACAAAGCTCAAACTACAGGGTTTCCTCTCTTGCCTTTAACAGATTCAAATATCCAAATTAGTGAAATGAAATGAGGCAACAACCAACAAGGTCAAAACAGTATATATTGAAGAGCACAAGAAATTCAACCAGCAAAAATATTTGTAACCAGACTAAATGTCAAAGAAGCCATAAAAAAAACATATAAAATTAGCTAGCAAACAAGCCAATATATCACACCATAACCAGTGTAGACTCTGATGATATTATATAAGTTGGTCCTACTCCTATCTGCAACACACCATTCATATCATCTATTGTCATATTATCTGCATTAATTAGAGAGCTCCAGGTCTGTAGGTTTTAAGGTTCCCATTAGGGTTAATTTGCTAGGGTTAGTCTTCTATTTAAGTCCTTAGTTTTTTATAGAGGGCGCGAGAGATTATTTTGTAATAGCACGGGCCATTGGACAATAAAATTATGTATTCTAAACTCATAGTTAAGATAAACATTCGCTGTCAGAAATTCATTATCTTGAAGAGATTTTCAAAATTCGGAAATAAATACCCACATGTTATGCTAATTGGCAGGCCAGTGACAGAGCCACTGATCCTATCCAAATATGAGGCACCTTCTTACATAGAAGTTTGAATCCGGTAGTATGCATTAAATGTTATATAGTGACGGAACACCTCTAACTAATTTCAAGGACAATACTGGGGAAGAAGAAATATGATCTTTAACCTATCACCTCATGCATATGCTTTAATGATCATATCTAACTCATTTAGCATAGTGAGGGAAAAGATGGCTTTCTTCTAATTGGAAAATAAAAAGTTTTGACTCGCTGGATAATTTTTTTGCAACTTTTAAATTTCAGTCCAACTTAACTCTCCTCAATATTAATGATATAATTAAATAATATCAATCAATCATTATCACACATCACATCAACAAAATTCATTATTCATCCACTCACAAGTACCTATCATTTGCAATAACCTCTTTCCTACTTTATATTTTTAATCATTACATTTTAAATACTATTTAAATACACACTCAAAATCCAACTCAAATCACCACTCAATCAACTTTGTTCAAAATTAACTCACTTAATCCAATCAAATCAATCAAAACCAAAAAAAAAAATTATACCAAATCACCCCAAGGCATTCAAGATAAAGTGAGGAGAAGATTAAAGAACACAGCAAGCTTGCCATACCAAGACCAGCAAGAGGTTCGTCTAATATCAACAGATCTGGAGTTTGCACCTAAGAAAGAGAAAGAATCTTTAAGGTAACCATTACTGCCATAAATATTAATTACCATCGATAAATAAAACTACAAGGAAGGCCCTGAGAGAACAATAGTTACTCTACTGTGACCCAGATTACCCAAAACGAATTCCAACTTCCAGTCTTTGTCATGCGCAGAGAGTCATGCAAACAATGTTTTAATAACGGAGCAGGTATTGGAGTACCATAGAGATGAGAAAAATCTTACTAACTGAATTGCTAGGGCAAGCCGTCGTTTGTATCCACCACTAAGGGACTGGGGATCTTTGTCCAGAGAGATTCCAGTTAGACCAACCTGACAATTACACAAGCATATACGCTAAAATATGGAAAATCGTTATCGTCAAGCGGATGAATGGTTGTTCCAGTTGAATAGCTTTTAATCTTTGTTAAAAATGATACCGATGTCATTGCTTTATGGAGCCTTGAAGTAAGAAGTTCTCTCAATTGCATGCCAACTTTTTGTCTTGGCCACCCGAATATTAATTCCTCAAGAACATTATCTGCAACAAAAAACCTACACCAATTTAAATATTTTAGATATCTTATCTGAGATTGAAATGCATAACCATGCCAAAACAATGAAAGCACATGATGATCATATAATTCTATTAAAAAAAGTCAGTGAGTATGACAGCTGCACAAACAGCTTTCTAAGAAGAGATCCAGGGTTAGACAGATTTGGAAAAAAAAGGAAAAAACAAGAGAAGAGGAAAAAAAGAAAGGAAAGCATTCTAGATCAATCAAATAAAATCAGGTTATTTTCATTTTTAGCTACATACGTGAAACTGAGGGGAAAATAGTGAATTCAGAAATGAGTTATAAGTGACACTTTTCTATAGGATCAATACATAAGAACAATCAAGATATCTCCCAAAAAGAAAAAACTGAACCAAAAAAAAAAAAGAACTGGTATTAATAGTTAACTGTATGGGATGTAAATTACCTTTCGGGAAACTGGAAAACAATACCAACTCTTCCAGGCTGCAACATTTCCGGAGACTGCTTCGGCTGACCATCAGCACCATATCTTTGAACGTGAATTGAGCCTGATGTTGGTTTACTTAACCCAGAAATTAGCTGCTCAACAAGTCAAACATTTGAAACAAAATTGAAACCAACATCCGAAAGGGTGACAAACTCAATTGAAGTGGAGTCTTCTGTATTTAGAGGTTAACCTGCAAAAGAGTAGTTTTTCCACTTCCACTTCTTCCAAAAATCAGCCCAAAGCTACCGAATAACAATAAAGAATTAATACAAAATTATGGATCTAAATGAAAAATCGAGTTGTTCATGTCTAAATCAGTGTGCTTCATTACCAACTTGCTTGAAAATTATAAACAAAATATTAGGCGCCTGGTCGGCCCATATTTTCTAATTTTAAGGAAAGTACCTTTTTTCAGGAAGAGATAAACTAATTCCATTCAAAAGAGCTATTTCGGTTCCTGGAGGTCGATAGCTTACACCCTTTATCTGCGACAGACGGTAGGAGGGAATTTTTATGTATTACATTATACAGTTAATATTTAAAACCTGCTGGTAAACAGAAGATGGTACAAATCTTAAAAATACAACAGAACCAAAATAGAGGAACTGACAAAAGACATCTAAGCTGGAATGAGCACAAAACAGTATAAGCTAGCAAATATACAATTGGTAAAGAGAAGTCCTAACAACTTCTAATCCAGATGCTAAATAAGTTTTAACAACACTTCAATTCAACTTTTATGCATGATTGAATTCTACATCACAGTAATTACCACGCACAAGCAGACACGCATATCAGTTCTAAATACTACTAATGTAATTGATATCATAATAACTTACATGAAATGATTCAGAAATGAAAAATTATATTTCAATTATTATAAGCTCGTGGGATTTTCTCACTAGCGCGGGTCCATACATATCTTCCCCTGAAATTACATGGCATAGACCAAACTCCAAACAGGTAGTAATTAAGAAAACACATATAGCAAAGCTACAAGACATGTACGAATTAGCTTTAGGAAAACGACAGCCTCAACTGGACTGGGGAAAAAGAGAGAAAATGTACGAAGGGAACTCAAACTTACCTCGAAACAGGAATAATCACAGGTAATTCTGCCAGCTCGATAAGTCTTTGAGATCATGCTGCTGTCGATGAAATCCGAAAGAAAAATTAGGCCACTAAAACTATCAGAAAGAAAATGTGGACACGAACAGCTAAATGCAAGTATAATCAAATACTCGTCAACTGGAGACATCGAGTATTACATAAATAAAATTGCAGAAATGTAGTTTCAACCTGAAACCAGGTAGAGAATTGGAGGTAGCTGATGATCTTTTAACTGGCGCCTTCGAACCAAATAGGGACACAGTTGAACTCGCCATTAGAACTAAGAAGAGACCTGCGGTTTGAGCTGTGGATTGTGTCCTGATTTTTTTGACCTTGTGCCTTTTTCCTATATAAAACAAAATATTTTTACACCATATAAAATAAGAATATAAAATCCAAATTAATATAATTAGAAAAATAGATAATTATTAATATACGCAAATGGCCGGAGCCGTGAGGATGTGCGAGTTTGATTTTGGAGTAATGGTGCGTGTGTGTGTGCGCTGTGAAGCAGGAAGAGGAAGAAGAAGAAAAACAAAAAATAGGAGAACTTGAATGAGGTGGGTTGTGATTGTGTGTGATACTGAAGGCAAGAGTATTAATTGGTGTTGGGCTAAGAGTGGTAATCTTATTGGGCTTAGGAGTTAATCAAAGATGATGATCTAGGCTGAAAGTACTAAAAAGATGAGAAGCTTGGTTTATGGGTTGGAGGTACATGCTCACAAATTCTAAAATCTAAACAAGTGTTGTAATCAAACTGAACCAGCGGGCGTTTTTGGAGCTCGTATTCGTTTATGTTCGAACACTGTTCGTATTTGTTTGTTTATTTTTCGAGCAAAAAATTGTTTTTGAGCTCGTTTGTTAAATTGATCGTCAGAGTTCGAGTTCGTTCATGTTTAAATAATTTAGGACACAAATTTTCTAAATAAGTTTGATTAACTTGATATTGTTCGTTCGAACTCGAAAAAAAAAATGAAATAAAAATATTTTATATTTTAGATTTTTTTATTAAAAATATTATGTAAACATAGAAAAAAAAATTATATTAAACTAATGTTTGCGGACACTATCTAATATTCACGAACGAGCTCGTGGTCGTTTGATTATTAAACGAGCCTAATTTTCTTTTCGAATTTGGCTCGATTAACAAACGAATGAATTATTGTCGAACACGATCGTACTCGAACGAACTTTTATTCGCGGATATTCAGTTCCTTTTTTATTATCAACTCAATATATATTCAAATTTATTATTGAAAATTGAGTTAATTTGTATAATAAGATGTGTTCCCTAAGGATATCCGGGCACGTGCGTGCATCCACATTCGCCCGTACATTTCATAGAAGATCATGAACTACATTTCGAGGTGGGTTTTTTTTTCCAAAATTAAATATTTACATGTCTTGAATGAATTGACCTCCACGCAAATGTAACTTTCAAGTTCACTGATGTAGCCTCCGGCCGAGCTCGAAATTATATTATGGTCGAGTTCTCCGTGAATTAATTTTCCATAAAACAAGTTGGAGAAATCAGACTTAACACACCCGATATAGAAACTTGGTGTAGAATGTGTTTTTTCTACTAGTGTCAGAATTACAAATGTCACCTTTATGTCTTAAGGTTTTAACCAACATCACCATTTAAAGCTGTGATAAATATAGTATGGTGCAATTTGCCAAATGAACAGAATAATCTCGAAAGGTCATTGCAATTTGCCAAACAAACATCACCATATCTGATTTCGGACAATGATTTTCAGGAATGGTTTAAAATGACTACTTGAGAGGGATTGAAAAATATTGAACCAATGGATCCTCAATGTTTCCTTAATTACTTGGAATGACTAAAAGCTTGATTGAAATTGGTGAGCAGATAGCCCACCTACGAGGCCAATCCTTTCTTTGCTATGAAATGAAATAATTTTGATCCATAACTTACTTTTTTTAACATGTTTCTCGTCAGACATGATCGACTATGAAAAGAAACTTCCAAGAATATAACATGCTATGGATACTATATATCACTTGTAGATCACTAGTAGTAAACCTCAAATTCCTCAATATGACGACTATTACAAGCACCCTTCACAATAGCGCATGCATTACCTAAACAATAAAATTTGAAAGAAAAGAAAATAAAGAATGTTATTATAACAAAGAAAAAGTTGGTAAAAGCATATATATATTCAAAAGAAGACAGCTAACCGGAATTGAAAACATTGACTAAGATTAATTATTGTATGGATTAGCAACAGTAACATAGCCTAGGTATAAACACCTTGTGTACATTAATGGATTTTCAAGTGAAACAACAAAGTTCAAGGCTGCGTGTGTAAGTTTGCTCTTCCCTTTAAAATTATCAAATGGGAGGTTCTTTGTTGCAACATGCGAAAATTCAATTGTTAGTGGAATTAAAAATAATAATATATAACACATTAATAATCGTTCGTTGTCAAATTTTTAAATTACCAACCGTATTCAATTGTAGTATCGATCACCGAAACAAAAATATCAACCACAATCAAAATAATTTAATCTTGTGTTTCAGTTATTTGTCCACTTGGATATCTCTCTAACTGCCAGTCTAATTCATTTACCACAATAGTAGATAAAACCTATAATAGCACTGTAACAATTATATACTAACCACACATTAAATTTATTGTTTTTTACCTATAATCTTCGAAATTCGTATTAATATTTTGTAGCTCGGGTATTGAATTTTCAATAAAGGCGTCAGATATATGTATTTCTTGTTCAACCTTCTAGTGCACGTGTTCACATACATCGTCCTGTTGGGTCGCCACGCAAAAATATTTCAAAAACAATAACAAAAAAATTGTTTAACACATATATTCTTTATTAATTTTTATATAGTCCACGAGGTATGACTCCAGAAAAAGAAACAATATATTTCAATGCCATGCGGACTACCATTCTCAGCACACCAGATACCAACCCTCAGATAAAGCTAGCCGCCACCTTATTTTTCCAAAACTCAGGACTTTTCTCGACAATCAAAATTCAACTAGCTATATAAATATAATTCTCGTGCATACATATGCAACCTTATACTTTCTTACATTTAACACGTCATGTGCAGCTTTTTTTCCATTTACTGGACACTAAATTATCCCTAGCAGGCAACAGATTTTAATATTTAGGTTTATTGAGCCTATTTTTCAGTTATTTAGCACTCTCCATATATGTTTAAATAATACCCTTCAATTCTTTTGAATTCAAGGTATCACCATAAATTTCTGCATAAGCATCTTTTTTTCACTAATGGATCATCAGAACTTTATGCATCCAACGTTTTCTGTCAATACTTCTTCCGGGGTTAATATTCCAGCTTCATTATCTCTTGCGCCGTACAAGAACAACAATATCGGGGACTTGGATGGATTTTTGACCGGTTTTAAGAGGGAAATCACCCATTTCTCTCTGCCACAATCTGCTAGTGATGATCATGTGCCTAATAATACTAGTGTTGAGATTATAGAAACTACTGAGATGATGATGAAATCATCGGTCGACAAGATCAAGAAAGGCGAAAAGAAAGCTAGAAAGCCCAAGTTTGCCTTTCAGACGAGGAGCCAAGTTGATATACTCGATGATGGATACCGGTGGAGAAAGTACGGTCAGAAGAAAGTGAAGAGCAACAACTTTCCTAGGTATGCAAAAATATTCTTTTTCTCTTTTAGGTTACTTGTACATTGAACAAACTAAAGGTAACTTGGAGAAATTCTTTTGTTGTATATATGTACAACTTGTGTCAATCTTATATATTCGAATACCCATGTTGTGTGTGCTAAAATGTACTAAGCTTGGGACAATGACGAGGGCTCATGTGTAAATTTAACAAAGGTAGCTTGCTTCTCTCCTGGATTCCAAATTTATGCATAATCAAGTAGTATATATACATGTTGGAGTGAAAATGTTCTCAGTCACATATGTGTTACACGAATGACGTATTGATTTAAAGAATGAAGATATTTTCTGCAGACGGATTGCATTATGTTTATGCATTTCTTTGGCTTGCAATATTCGTAAGTGTATGGAAAAGTTAATGTGCATAGATGATAGTAAAATCGGAAAATGGTAAGGTGATACATTTTCTGGTGTTGCAGAAGTTACTACAAGTGCACACACCAAGGATGCAACGTTAAGAAGCAAGTGCAGCGACTATCAAGAGACGAGGGTGTTGTTGTGACGACATATGAAGGAACGCATACGCATCTTGTGGATAAGCCCATGGACAATTTTGAGCAAATTCTCAACCAGATGCAGATTTATCCTCATGTGAATAATTAGTACATGATAACCAATTGGATAGGTACGTATGTGATGAGGAAATAGCATCATTCCATATATTTCATGAGTAATGGTAGATCTTAGGTGGTTTCGTGTATAAGTAGGAAATTCAGTTGCATGACTAAAAGTGACCGTCTTTTACATCATCTGAGAAGTATAATTATTCAGCTTCTGAGCGTAATCCCTAAGTTGATTTCGAAATCAGCTTTTTTCGAAAATTTGCACACTTCATTACTCTCATGGCAAGTCCTATTTCTGGAATAATAGCTTATGTTTTATGCACTTCAACCGCGATTCACCTTTTTGAACTTTATAGTGCACGTTGATCTTTTTTTTTCCCCCATTGGAACTTCATCAACATATACATTCAGTAGTTCACGGCTTCGATTTCAATATGTATTTTACAGGACACCTGATGACAAGAACACATAAATTGATGCCAGAATGGCACAACCACACACACACACACACACACACAAAAAAAAAAAGAGCTTTTTATTTCTAACATAGCCTTTTAAATGGAGAACAACTACGGAAAACAATGAAACACAACTACAGTCTCCCTCCAAGCACATACCATGTTGGTACGACTCAATTTAATATGACTTCACGACTCAACCCAAAAACATGCTCCGAGGTTCAATAGTATATATATTTTACACATGTTCACTAATCTCAACAGCGAAAGGTTGGCAACGTGTAGAAAAATGCAAAAATGTAACACAAGTTCGGATAATTCTACTCTCTAAGAATACTAGCAGCAGGGCACAACAACCAAAATGTGCATATGATTCTTGAACAAGGCTAGCTATATGAGGATTGGTATAGGTCTAGTGCTTGTCCTCCTTCGGAATATCTTTCCCGGCTATTTCCTTCGGTTTGCCCTTCATTTCTCTGCAATACGAGCATACATTAATCACGGTTCACCTTACACATCAGTACAAAAGCTTTGAACTGCATAATCGAGCTCATTTAAGATAAACAATCCTCAATGAGAATCCATGATTCATGTTTATCCTAAGCCATTCTTACACTAATTCAAGAAATTTGGAAACTAATTCACGATTATATTCAGGAGTTTAAGATGTACAGAATAGTTTCTCATTTTCAGAAAGCATCACATTTTTTGGCATTTTCACTCAGCATATTCATTGCTTCACTATAAGAAGATAAAGCACAACATAAACAAAAAAACAAAAAAAACGAACATAAACACGAATCACAAACATTTGATATAAAGTTGAAACCTTGCATTCCGTCAAGCTTGATCAGTAGAGACATATCGCAAGCTCAAAGACGAAAACTCTTTAATGGAGATGAACAACAAATAGCAACGATTTAAATTAGAACGAGACTTTTAAGGTGCGTACTTTGCAGCTGAAGCGGACTCTTCCTCCAACCAGTTGCGTATGTGGCGGACGTTGCGGCGGAAGATGGTGGCGGATTGCTCACGTCGCTTCTCATTAGCAGCACCACCGCGCTTACTCCGACGACGGTCAGTATGAAATTCGTCAGCGCCATTTTTCCAGTATCAATAATTTCAGTTCCTCTTGATGATGCTCGAATTAGTTTTGTGAATCGAATCTCGTGAATAAAATCAAATCGATTTGTAGGTTTGACACAGACGAGGAAAAAGATTCTTAGACAGGAAGAGATTGGGGATGGGCCAGATCACAACACTTGTACCGCATGGCCCATTCGTGATGGACTAAATTATATTTAATAGGCCTAATCGAAGGCCTGTATTGATACTTTTCATTTGCTGCGTTTTTGTAGTCTCTTATCCGTGCAGGTCACACAAGTGTACTTTAAGTTTAGGAAGGTTCACAAACTCGAGTTTGTGAAAAAACAATGTTAGTATATAATAAAGGAGAAAACTACCATCCGTTACGGAACCATTCTGTGAGAATTTTTAGCCATTGATTATCTACAATAACTAAGAGCATCTCCAATGACACAATGTCTATTTTCATATGTATGTTGTGGAGAAAAGAAATAAAAATAGTTTGTCTCCAATGGTGAATATCTTTTGTAGAATAAATTAACATGTGTAAGATAATAATTAGTTAGTGGAGAAAAATATATAAAATAAATAATATATTATAGATAGAAGATGGAACCTGCCACATTGGATTTTTGGGGCCATGTGGTAATGGAATGGGACAATGTACAAACCATTGGAGATGTTCTAACTTTTATGTATATTCAAAGGCTAAAAATTCTCACGGAATGATTCCGTGATGAGATGGTAGCCTTCTCCATAATAAATGATATTATTGAGAGTTTTCACCTTTTTCACCAAAATGCAATTATACACATGGTTGGGTTTGAATAAATATTAAAAAATAGTAATATTATTGAGAGTTTTCGACCTTTTTCACCACGCAATTATATTCACATTGTTGTATTTGAATCAATACTAAATAGTAAACTCTTTACTTGTTTGATTCAAAAGTAAAAACTAGAAACTCTTTTAATATTGTAATACGTGGGCACGCAAAAATGTTACTCTAAGACCGAAATTAATATTTTATATAATAAATTTATTCATATTACGAAACGTATCAAACCCTTATTTGTGAATAATTCTAATTCTCGTAGATTTTTTGTTAACCGGATCATTGAACCACATATTTTTTGTTTTTTCAACAAATTTATATATTTTTTATTAAAAAACATCATACTTTAGAAACAAATATAAATATAGAAATGTGAATTTGGTTGTATAGGTTATGATTAGGCTGTCTCGAGAATTTGTTATTTGCATTTTATCTCAACGGCAAAAATCTGAATCACAGCGTACATCAGAATGGGCTGCTGCAATTGCCACTACACACCTTATCCATTTTTCTCGTTTCTCGTGCTCACCTCACCAATCTCCACACCGTACCCGCGTCGTGATAATCCTCAATACTA